CTGACCTAGGGTGAGTTTTAAATAGGGACAATTTTTAACGATTTTAAAGAGCCACAGCTACCAATATTTGGGTTTTAATTGGTTTTTAGTAGGGGAAATTTTTTGTATGATGTTTTAATACGCTGTGAGCCGCCCTGAGTCCCATGGGGAGAAGGGCGGCATATAAATCCTGTTAAATAAATAAATAAATAAAATAAATTTTCTGTACTTAAAACAAGGCAGTATTTTAGGTAACCAGAGCAAAACACTTTTTACTAACTGGCAGCACTGAAATCCAGTAAGTCTTCTCAGATTAAAACTATCTACCAACTAACAATTGTGTTATGAATGTTTGCAATAGAGAAGAAAAAAAGTACCCTAAGATTGCAAGTTGGCCATATTTCAGAAAAAAACCTGTGATTTGTTCAATGGATTGACTTCCAGTAGAATGAGGGGTTGATTTTTTTTGTTTTTTTGTTTTTTGAGAGAGAGGAAGTAAGCTATTTGTTATTTAATTATTTGGCTGATCTTTTTAAATAGTCCATTACAAGCTAGAGACTCCCACTTCTCTGTTTATTAAAGTTCAGTGCAAGGAAAAGGACAAATTGACAGAATGATAACTAATGCATTATTCAACAATATCTAAACCAGGAGCAATCCATTGATCTGCATATTTGATCCTTAGGCATGTAAAACAAGCACATAATAGGTGTTAGCTTGTCTCTTGGTCTGAGATTGCAACAATAGGAACTGGGGATGGAAAACGATTTGATCCACAATTCATGAAATGTGAGCTGACATTTGCATGTGATTTTCCAAGGCTATAGAAATGAAACTAATAATGCATGCTACTATCGAACCCTTCTGTTTGAGAAGAGAAGTTGATGACTCCATATTTAATGACTCCATATTTAAGAATTATAACTGAACTATAGATTGTGCATTTTACTCATTAAGAAGTTTTCATTTTTTTTCTTTTCCATAGTATATGAAGATGATGGGTGTAAATTCCAGCAGTCATTTCTTTGCTTGGTTCATCGAATGCATCATATTTCTCCTGCTTACTAATATATTTCTTATTTTTATTCTCAAATTTGGGAATATCCTTCCAAAAATAAATGTTGTGATCTTGTTCCTGTACCTTCTGGACTACAGCTTCTCCATAATAGCCATGTGCTATCTCATCAGTGTATTCTTCAACAATACAAACATTGCTGCTTTGGTTGGCTGCCTGGTCTACATCTTGGCCTTTTTCCCCTTCATTGTCCTACTAGTTGTTGAGAATCAGATGAGCTTCACCATCAAGAGCCTACTGGTAAATCTGTCCTTGTATAAATTTTCTAGAAAATGGGGAGTTTACAACTGGACTTTTTTGGGAGAAGCAATTTACCTATAGATTTGGGTTTGCTTTGTCTTACAGCCACAGACTATAGTACCATGAACATAAGAAACTGTTTTTGTGGTATGTCAAGTAATACTCCATCCATTTTAATTGAATATGGCGCTTCACATTGATGGAAATCAGTGAAGTGTGCATTTGACTTGCCACAGACTGAATCTGGGTCCTTTATTGCACAAAACATCTTCTGTGATAGTGCTCCTCTATCACAATTATAATCCTTATTCACTGGACACCTAATATGGAAATATTTAACAATTTATTTCACAGATCAACAAAATAGGGTTGTTGTTGTTGTTTTGCTTTTTAGCACTAGTTTTAAGAGTAGCAAAAAGAAAAAAAGCCATCAAATTAAAAGACAGTGATAATATATTATTAAGAAAGTGTCCATGGACACCAGGGATCCCTGCCTAACCCTCTTCACACACAATTTTTCAATGTTTGAAAAAAATATTTTTCCAGGATGGAACAAGGACTCCTGCCTCAGGCAGGGGGTTGGACAAGAAAACCTCGAAGTCCTTAGAGGTTTTTCTTTTTTGAAAAAGAGTCTTCAACATATAGAAATGATGGGAATGTTATCCTTTCAATTTTGTATTATCAGCCAGACAACTATTTTGTGAGAGTTCTGAATAAGGTATTAACATTCCTTCCAAAAACTGCTTGAATTGAATATTGAATGCATCTGTTCTAAATCAAATTAAAATTGGGTTTTCAACAAATGTTTATTTTCTAAACATACAGTAGAGTAATAGTGTGTTGAGTCTGGATACACTGTCCTGGTTAAATCTGGGCTGAATGATGAAGCTTATTAAAATAAGTTAAAATAAAAATAAATAAGCTTAAATAACAAAAGATTAAAATAAGTCATTGCCTCTAACCCAATTACATCAAGAATGGTTGTGAACATGATTCTTGTTGGAAAGATGGGACCTAAATTAAAATCCATAACTACTAATGAGTTTGGAGATATGTTTAAATAGTCAGAACACCACAACTAGAGCCAAATCATCCTTGTGTTCTATTACTGCTATGTTTTCTATTGGGATGCTGTTTGCACGTGGCTCCTGGATCTCGTCACCGGTCCTAATTGGTTAAGTTGCACTCTAGTCGTAACTTCCGTATCGGTGGCTGCACTTTTCCTACCTCTCCTGCCTGCTTGTGTATTGCTACTCATTCTCCCCTCGTATAGTCCTGAGTTAAGGAAGTTCTCTCTCCCCCCTTCCGATACGGAAGTTACGACTAGAGTGCAACTTAACCAATTAGGACCGGTGACGAGATCCAGGAGCCGCGTGCAAACGGCATCCTGCCTATAAATGAACTCACCCATTGACTAGCATTGAACCCTGACGATGTCGGTAGCTTCTGACGAAAGCTTGGTAATTGGTGATTGTATTTAACTTTTTCAGTTTATAATATTCCTGGTGCTCATGTTTTATTGGTTTTTCAGAATATATATATATATATATATATATATATATATATATATATATATATATATATATATGCTAATAATAACATTAAAAATACGATCCCTGGGTACATCCATGTTCAGAATAAATAAATAAAAGTGAACACCAGGGAAAATCCTTAAACTATAAAAGTTTAATACCAAGTTTACAGACGCCAAGCTTTTGTCAGCCACTGCTGACATCATCAGGGCTTAAGAAGCCAGTCTATGGGAGAGTCTTTTATAGGTTGAGTAGAGCCTGCACACGGCCCCTGGACCTCGTCACTGGTCCTAATTGTGTAAGCTGCGTTCCAACGGTAGTTTTTACATTACCGGCTGTTCCTGCCCTGCATTTCCTGCTTGTGTGTATGACTTCACCTGTCTTATTTTCGCTTGGGCTGGGAGCAGATGGAGCGTTCCCCCCTCCTATCCTCTTTGGCCGCATCCCCCGCACCGCCTGACCACGTAATCCTGCCCTCCTATCCCCTGCAACGATTAAATCCACCAGACCCGGGGTGCCTGTTCCCTTCTCTGGAGCCCGGCTGATCCCATCCACCCCGTTGCAGCTCCTGTAGGCGCTTCCCCCCCTTTTTTCTCTGGCCGTATCTCCCGTATCTCCTATATCCCTCAGCAGTCCGCCCTTGTCATTCTTTTGCTCGTTCCACCTGGGCTGCCTAGGCTCATTGCCTCCCTCTGCTTCTTCTTTCCCTTTGCCAGTCCCCTTCCCGTGCCCACCCCCTCCACGGATGCTGTTCTGTCCAAGTTTTTTCCTCCCCCCTTCATGCCTGCCGTTCCCGACTCGGCCGTCAGCACTCTGGGGGTTGCTCCGTGCTTCCCGGTGGCTCAAACCGGCTGGAGCCGTGGAGTCGGGTCGCCACTGCGGGTCGGCTCGGCGGGATCACCCCTCCTTTCTTGTGCGCAATCGAGTGACTATCATTCCGGGACCCCCCTCCTTCCTATCGGCCTCTGTCCTGTCGTCCCCGCACGACCCGGTCTTGGCCGGTCCATTGCGCGTGCTCTCCGCACGGGTGCCGCCGGCTCCAGCTGAGAGTGCCCGGCGACTCGATTCCGATGTTGTTCCTTCATTGGGGGGTGCTGCCTTGCTCCGGTGCCTTGGGGGAGGGGGAGGAGACTCCTGGTAAGTTGGTCATCACTCCTACACCCTCCCTCATCGTCGATCTCTGCGTTCTTCGGGGGCGCATACCTTTCCTGGCGATGGAATCCTCTGCCCGTAATTCTCGTTGTGCCCGGGTGCCTGGGGGCGGTTGGGGGGTGGAGATGCTCTTCCTGCGGCTTTCTCCATTGGTTCTGCTGGCCTCTCCGGTCCGTTGTTACGGCGCTTCCAGCGGGATGGAGGGTTGCTGCCCACACTCCATGCCCTCAGCGCTAAGTGCGCTGGACAGAGATCGATGTGCCGATTAATTGAATCCCTGTCCGAAAGCCACGCTTCCTTGAGCAGGCGTCCCCCTTTCG